GAAATCACTTTAGAAAAGAATTTTTGCACAACAGGATCGGTTGACCCACTGTAGAGCTCCTCCGCCCTACGCTTATGTATTACAAAAATGATAATTTCTCTGGCCCACAATGGTTTTTTATCACTGGTGCAGCATGGGTACGCAGTCCTATATAAAACAGATTAGGCGTTATTAGCCTGGGAGGGGGATATTTGAAAGGCTCCTTCTGCAGAACTGGAATCCTCACGGTGGACATGAGCACTTTTGCCTGACTTTCAGCCGTAGAAGCAGCGGATTTTTTGACTAGTTTAAAATACGGCATTTCTACTTGGATGACCTTATGCCACTTCAACACAATAAGTTCTTCAAATGCTCCTCCAAAGCAACTAGCGCCATAAATTTCTACCTCATATGCGAAAAAAGATAAATCCAACGAAAAATTACTTGAAATCCAGATGGTTTTTCCTTCTGTTCCTCAGAAGTAGCTTTGGTGTCAGAACACATCATACGCTAGGGGAATTCCCAGAGGCGAGAGGGGGTCACTTGTATGCTAGAAGGGTGAAGGGGGGGGGGGCGCGCATTTGGCCCGATGAAACATTTTTATGATAGCTGATTTTTCCTGTTTCGCGCGCTCCATCTACGACTCCCATTCAGGAGGGGGGGGGGGCTAGCGAAACCAGGAATAAAATGGCAGGATGTTGGAAAAACTTAGTGAACTGATGGGCAGAATGTGAAGGGGAACCTTATCAGAAGTGGAAATTCGGGCGAGTCGTATTATGCAAGAATTTTCCCTAGCGACAACGAGTGCCTGTTTGGTGTTTTGTCAAGCATTGTGTTTTGGAGGGCGAGGCTTCAAGATGGCTAAATCACCCTTCAGGAAGTGTTGGGTATCGGTTCCCGCTTGGAAATGTGTACTTACATTCACTGAACATCTCATAGCAGTTATCTACTAGACTGTGGACCCTTGCTACACCTGCGCATGACTCCTTCATCTTCCTTTGGGCATCACGTCAAAAAAAATCAAAGAAACTGCGTGGAAATGAAGTCGAAGTTCGACCATTTCGCAACTTTGGCAATAACCCAAGACTACACGAAATGCTCCCGCCTGCTGTGAAAAGTCAGCAAAATGTCCCGCTGATCGGACCTGCGCCGAGGACAGTACAGTAGTCGAGATCCGGGCGAAACCCAGTAGTGTGATTCAGAAAGGAATGCAAATCGAGACTGATTCAGACGGCAGAACATTGCACAGTCAAACCCTACCACTCAGTAAAAGCACATGGGACTGCAGACTCCTGCTACACCTGCGCATGGTTCCTTCGCACCACCGTCCAACAGGTGAAAAGTTGAAAAAATTGCGCAGAGATGAAGCTCGGACTATTTCGTAGCTTTACAAGTGGATTCTGCCTGCTGTGAGAAACCAGCGAAATGAACCCGCTCAGCGGAATAGCGCCGAGACTAGTATAGCTTTCGTCGGGATCCGGGGAAAACCCAGCAGTGTGATTCAGAAAAGCATGCAAATCGAGCTGATTCAGACGGCAGAACGTTGCACTGTCACAATGTACCACTCAATAAAAGCATATAGAAAAGAATAAAACTCACGAAATTGCATAGGAACTCCTTGTTCAAGCGGTGGGGTATTCGTTGCTTGTGGAGTAGACGTAGTCCTTGTGTGGGGATTTTCGGGTGATACGGTACCCGGTGAGGACATTTTGTCCATCATTCTGAAATAAATAAATGAACGGATGATCGGAGGGCTAAGAAGGCGGCCGAAGGACTCAAGAAGAAATGGACGAAAGGGAATGAGAATGAGGAGGACGTCTTCACATCCACCTCTTTCTCCACTGGCAGCCGACGATCGATGTGTTCGACACTGCGTCTCTGCCGTTCCGCCGTCGTCACTCTCCTTCTCTGGCACTCTGCCTACTTGTGCAACGCCTCCGATAATTTTTGCAAGTATTTTGCTTCTTTTTTTTTGAATAAATTGAGCTCTCTCAATGACAATATGCTTTTCGTATAGCCAGGACATCCTGCGATAGTGTGATGTTACGGGGTGCTTTGTTAATGCCTGTAAACGCAGCCGGCCGTCTTGCAAATACCTGTAAACATTTGTAAATTAAGAATCATTACGAACTTCATTTCCCCCGCCATGTCTTTTTTCCAGATCTGATTTTCCCCCTTTCAAGCGCACACACTTTTGCATAACATGTGAGCCCTGTCGATTATACTGGGGCTTTTAGTGTAATAGTACGTGACGTTACGACATCGCAATTTTGCACAATAGTTATTTTAAGTTCGCTTCATTTTTCTTCTCGAAAGTGTACTTCTTCATTTATTGTACCGCGTTCAGTGTAGGCGGGCAAAAGAAACATTGTGACGGAGCCCGAGGTGGGTTTTTGCGTATAAGACGCGGTTTTTTTTCTCTTGAGGTTCACCTTTCTTGAAGGAAATGATCGTCGTTTGTGGTTTCAAATATCTGGGGTGTTGGCACAGTATATTGCGGGGCGCTAGCTCCATTGATTTGTTGTGTAAAACCCATTAAAGGTCCTATTAGTAAGCAGCGGCTAATGCCGTTTGGACTCCAAGAATTTCGGCACCCAGCCCATTTGTAAATTGCCTAAGTCACCAAATCCGCCAAAAACTTGTATATAGGGGTAGTTTAACATCCTGATTAAGAATATGACATTCACTTTTGTCGCTGGCGTCAAGAGAGGACACTAGGATCACCTCCTAGGCTCAGCCTTAGCAGAGCGCAGATAATCGTAGTGTCATCCATTAGCGCCAGCGACAAGAGCGAATGACATATTCTTAATCAGGATGTTAAACTACCCCTATATACAAATTTTTAGCAGATTTGGTGACTTAGGCAATTTAAAAATGAGCTCGGTGCCGAAATTTGGAGTC